TCACCATTGTTGCTATGGTCACTGGGTCCATTGTTGTGGCCACTATGTATTTTGAGTGTCTTCCAACCTAGAAGACTCATTTTCCAATGCTCTATCAGACAGTATTCTGTTGTGATCTATGGGGTCTTCATTGACTAATTTTTGGAAGTAGATTACCATGTCTTTCTTCCTAGTCTGTCTTAGTCTGGAAGCTGTGCTGAATCCTGTCCACCATGGGTGACCCTGCTGGTATTTGAAATACCAGTGGCATAGCCTCCAGCCTCACAGCAACATGCAAGCCTCCACAGTGCCACAAACTGACAGACTGGTAGTAGAATTCATTATATACTATGCATTATGCATTTATTTATAATGTATGATATTATTGTATATATCATTATAAGTTATATATTATCATCTCCAAGTTGTAAATGCTGAAACTAAGACTCAGAGTAGTTAGGTGGCTAGCTCAAGTTCACAGAGTGATCTTTTGACTGTACCAGTACATTTAGGAAAGATCTGGGGTCATAAATGTTACCTGGCTTTACCTTCTCCTGGCCATGCTCGGTTAAGTGCTGAGGGGGTGAGGTCTTTGGGGCTCCAGGTCAGTCCCAAGTTCCTTCTGGACAGAGGTCTACATCTCTTCATCTTAGCTCTTGTCCCTGAGGAAGCAAAGCCTATTCTAGAAGGTTCCTAGTAAAACCCCTTCCCCATCCCCTGCTCTCTTGAGCTGGGAACCTGTCATCCCCAGAGCATCCCAGAGTCTCCTCTCAACCTCAAGCCACTGTGCTAGCCTGAAGAACGCCAACCACATTTCCTTTCTTCTCCTCTGACAGCATGGCACTCCATGTGCCTCAATCTATTCTCGTCTTGCTTCAGCTATTACTTTTTCTCTGTCTGGGTTCCTGAACTTACACAAAACAGATTTACACTGAGCAAGCAGGGGGAAGGGAACTGCTTAGCACAGAAATTCCTGCTCCCTCCCTGCATTGGGCTGGGACTGCATTCATCCCTAAGGGAAGAGCTCACATGTTCTGGGAGGTCTCACCTTGCCTCCTGCACCTGGTTCTAGATTGAGGAGAGAGCTTCGTTGAGGACCTTCACTAGCATCTAGCTTGGGGGTGGGGAAACATTCAGTCCAAATCACAGATGCCACCACTGTCCCCAGAGAGGTTCAATGTCCTAGATTGAGCCCCCACCCAGCCCTTTCTTTTTTTTTTTCTTTAAATGTTATTTATTTTGTTGTTGTTGTTGCCATTGAAAATATTCACACAAAACATACACCAATTCAACAGTTTCTACACAAAGAATTCAGAAACATTGATTACATTCTTGGAGTTGTGCAACCGTTCTCACCCTCCTTTTCTGAGTTGATGGTCCCTCATTAACATAAACTCACTTTCCCCTAAGTTTCCTCCTATCTGATCTTTTGAGTTGTTGTTGTTAATTTGATCCCATATAAATAGTTCTTAAAAGAGAGTATTGCTCAAGGCAGACATTTTTTATTAGTTAAAATTAAACTATTGTTTGGTTTTAGAAAGACTTCAGGGGATATTTTTGGTTTAAGGTTTAAAGATTATCTCAAAGCAATAGTTTTCAGGGATTTATCTATCCTCCATGGATCCAGAAAATCTGGAGTCCATGAGAATTTTAAATTCTGTTCTGTGTTTTCCCCCTTTTGATCAGGATTCTTCTATGGACTCTTTAATCAAAATGTTCAGTAATGAAAGCTGGGCACTATCCAGTTCTTCTCCAACCTGTTCTTCCTTTCTTATGGGGTTCTGGACAAGTGTGCAAGGTCTCAAGTTAGAAAGATCTGACACTTCCTCACTGTGTGACCTTGGGCAGGTGACTTCCCCCCTCCGAGTCACATTCTCTGTAATATGAGCATAATTACAGTACTGACCTAACAGGGCTGTTAGATGCTATTTTTTTTGCTATTTGTGCAGTCATTTATTAATTCAACAAGAATTTGCTAAACATAGCAGCAAACAAAATATACTACCCTCCTAGAATTTACCAACTTATGTTTCTAGAGTTCTCAGAACAGAGCCTCAGCACAGCATAGTAGATGCTCATGAAATGGAGGGGGGTATTATTGATATTATTATTCACATATCCTTGGCTTGGTACACACTATCGGAGTCAAAACCATGGGTTCTGGGGATGGTGCATTCTCAAATGGCCAAGGAACATGGACAGTCTGCAGAATCACAAGTGGGGCACTAAGCCCACAATGTCTCTAGTGTCTTGTTTCTCTTCTTGAGGCATTATGCCCAATTTACTCCTCCATAAAACATCTGCTGGTTCCAGTGTAAAGTAATGCTTCCTACTGCATCCTCAGGGCAGTGGTGGTTCCATGGTAGAATTCTCACCTTCCATATAGGAAACCCGAGTTCAGTTCCCGGCCAATGTACAGCCATGTCTGTTAGTGGAGGTATGTGTGTTACCATGATAATGAACAAGTTTCAGAGGAACTTCCAAACTAAGACAGACTAGGAAGAAAGGCCTGGCAATCTACTTCTGAAAATCAGCCAGTGAAAACTCCATGGATCCCAACAGTGCAATCCTTAACCAATCATGGGGATGGTGCAGGACCAGCAGCATTCTTTTCCATTGTGCTTGGGGTTTCCATGAGTTGGAAATCAACTCAATGGCAGCTAACAACACTGCATGCTTGAGCAAAATTGTCCCCTCTGGAAGTCATGGCAGGTTTCTCCTGGGACTCTAGTATCCCTGACACATGACTGGAAAGCCCCAGACTCCAGGTGGAAACACTGGATTTGAACATAGAGGTAGCATGGGGGCAGAGGAGAGTATGGGTGCATGGGGGCAGAGGAAAATGAATAGTATTATCTCCATTTTGCAGATGAGGGAACTGAGGCTCCAAAAAGTGAAGTGACTTGCCCAGCGTCCCACAACCAGCATTAGGAGAGCTCAGATTTAAACCTAGATGAATCTGATTTCAGATCCTTTGTTCTTAACCACTGTCTGGCACTGTCCACCACTATTCTCCACTCCTCAAAGAGAAAGGAGAGAGCGCCCCCTAGAGGAGGAGGGAAAAGAATGCTGGACTGCTGGGTGTCAGGAGGCCAGCCTGCCTCTCAGCTCCTCTGCTCTATTGCTCTGTGGCTCTTGACAAGCACCTTTTCCTCTCTGTGCTTCAGGTTCCTCATTGGAAAATGAGATTAACTCTAAAATGCCTCCAGTGCTGAAGTTCTTCTGTGAAAGAGGACAGGATTGTAAAGGAGAGAGCTAGGGCAGGGGAGAGTGGGCAGGAGGGAGGAGTTGGGACTGAGGTAAGGGCTTAGTCTGTCCTCCCCCTACCCTTCTCACTACCCCGAGCCTAGGATGGCCAGCCATCCGTGGCTGCAGGGAGGGGCTGGTTCCCATGCCAGGCCCAGCTGAGCTCAGCAGGGGCCCTTTGTCACCCAACGCTTGCCGGGCCAGCCACGGTGTTGGGTGTTTGAGCGGATTGGATTCTCTCTTGGCAGCTCCGCAGATGCCGCGCTCCTGCAAGGGTGGCCGGAGTGGGCAGGGAGAAGCAGCTGCTCCCTCCTCCTGCTCCTGGGTTCACCAGAGACTGTCAGCCGCTGTCCGTGGTGCTGGCTGTGGGGGGAATCCCCCAGGTGAGGGCTCTGTAAACCAACTGTGGACCTCCTGCTGGAATACAGCTCTGAGCTTAATGGCGTCCTCATGAATATGTATGAGCTGGCTTCTCTGGCCTGGCTAGGGGCTTGGTGCATGTGGGTGGGGGCTGTGGTGTAGGTGTAGGTGTAGGTGGATGGCTTTCTCCCAGCCACCCCCACCCAATCTACACTTCTACAAGATGGGAGTAGGAAGAGTGTGTGGGGAGAAGGGTGTGTGTCTGCAGGTGTAGGTGGTGTGGATAGGGAAAGCATCTGTGTGTGAGGCCTGGGGTCTGTGTGTATGTGTGTGTACATGTGTGTATGTGTGTGCTGTGTGTGTGAGAGAGAGGAAGAGGAGGAGCGATTCCCAGATTGTGTGAGCATGCAGCTGTGTGTAAACATGTTGAGGACAATGAGAGAAGGAGAGAATTGGGGTCTATGTGTACACAGAGGGGCTGTGAGAGAAAGTAATTTGGGAGAAAAGTGGTGGGAATATTAAAGTATAAGCCTCAGTGTGACTGTGTGTGACAATGTGTGTGACAGAGGTGTACATCAGAGTGTACATGGGTGTGAGGTGGGGCCTGTCAGGGGGAGTGCATATGGCATGGTGATAGGACAGGGTCTAAAAGTATGTGGGTTAGGTGTTGGGGGCATCCTGAGCTGTGCATGCCTGAGGGTGTGTGTACCCCAGGATATGTGTGACTCACTGTGTTACATAGCACAGTGCCCTATTAGGCTGGAGGGTAGTGGAGTGGTCTATGGTTAGGGTCTGTAGTGAGGGTGTATTGGGCTGTACCTTTTGAGTGGTGTGTTGTGGAGTGCCTGCATGAGTGCCAGCACCATACAGGTTTACAATGTGTGCAGGTGTTTTATGGGGAGTTGTATGAGAACCCATGTTAGGATATATGTATATAAAGTGAATGTCATTTGGGATGTTGTCTGCATGTGTGTATGTGTGTGTGCAGGTGTTTATGTATGCGTGAGTGTGTGTGCACATGTATGTGGTGTGTGTATGTGTATGAATGTGCCTGTTTGTGTGTGTTTTGTGTGTGCATGCACTTGCACTGGGGCATTCCTGAGTGTCATTCCCATGAAACCCACAGCTGCCTGACTCTTATCTACCCCTCTGTGCTTACCCCCACAGGAGCCACCACCCCTGACCATGTAGATGCCAGCTCTGGGGAACAGCATGGGCGCCACTGAATGGAGACTCCTGGGTCTGCAGCCCTGAGCCCTTCTGGCCCCTGGATCTCATCCTACACTTGGGGACACCCCTTGGAGCTCACCACTGCTGTCACCAGCCCACCTCGGCCACCCCCTACCCCGGGACCCAGGCTTGGCAGCCGGGAGCCACGATCATCCAGTGCGGTTGAGCTAAGGGCAGCCACACGGAGCCATCTTCCAGCAGCCCCTTGTCCAGTGCTGACCCTTGGGATCACCCCAAGCAGAGACTGTGGCAGTCATGGGTGACATGACCAACAGTGACTTTTACTCCAAAAACCAAAGAAATGAGTCCAGCCATGGGGGCGAGTTTGGGTGTACAATGGAGGAGCTCCGCTCCCTCATGGAGCTGCGGGGCACTGAGGCCGTGGTCAAGATCAAGGAGACCTATGGGGACACCGAAGCCATCTGTCGGCGCCTCAAGACCTCACCTGTTGAAGGTAGGTGTGGGAGACTTGACCCCAGGGTCATAGCATCAGCAGCCCCCAACTGAGTTGGCTTCACAGTTGATTATATAATATTTAACAACTCCTTTAGAAGTCTGTAGGTGGTACAACTAACTGAAAGGTTGGATGTTCAAGTCTACCCAGAGGCACCTCAGAAGAAAGGCCTAGTGATCTACTTCCAAAAAGTCTTCCATTGAAAACCCTATGAGGACAGTTCTTCTCTGACATACATGGGGTTGCCATGAGTAGGAGTCATATTGATTGATAGCAATTGGTTCTTATCTCTCAGGCACTGGCTGAATAGCTAGTGGGACCATTACAGTGTATTCTAGCTAAGAGGCTGAGTTTGGCGCAAGCCTCCTCTGAGAAAAAGGGCTAGGATAAGGGAGAACAGAACCTTGGCAAAGCTGTGTTCTGAAGAGGGAGGGACCAAACCTTCCAGAAGGGGCAGCTCAGCAAAGCCACAAAGTTTGGGTCCATCCTGGGATGGGAGGACTCCTGCCTTAAGAGGTGGGACAGGAGGGAGGCCAGGTACCACTGTGGATCCACACCTACCCTGCCTGCACCAAGGCTCACCAGGCTCCTGCTGACCTGACTCAGTCCCCAGTGGTTGGTCTCTGGGGTCCAGCTGCCCCACCCTGCTCTTGCTTCCCCGGGCCCCAGGAATCCACTCATCTGGGAGCCACAGTGTTGCTCATGTGCAGCCAATTCTAGCTCCCCTAGTCCTGCCGCTGGGCTGGGATTGTGTCTGGCTCTCCAAATCAAGACTCTAGGTGAGGATCTGGGGCTGCTAACACAGGTTGGCAGGGAGATGGACCATAATGGGGAGGGTGACAGATGCCCTTGTGTATCCCACCCTGGGGTGGGCATGGACTTTCTTCCCATTGGCAAAAAAGGATCTCCAGGGAGAGTGAGAGGATTTTTGCCTTTAGAGGCTTCTCTGGAAAGGATCAAAGTTAGGCCAGATGCTACAAGGCAGAAGTGGGAGAATTAGCCCAACGTGGACATCAGAGCTTGGGTCCCCATCCCCACACTGACCTGCCACAAGCTACTACCTCCTTCCATGAGGGGGCAATGTTCCTTGGATAACCCAAAAGACATGGATGTGAGTCTGTATCCTCTCATCCCCCAAACCCCCCACCAAGAGTCCCTGCTTGAACCCTCAGTATCTCCCTCTAGAAAATGGGCCAATGCCTATCTCATAGTGCCTGGTGCCATTATAATTGTGAGAACAAGTGGGTAGCAATCCCTCTCCCAGGTATAGACCACAACCTGGGAGGTGGCCAGCATCCAAATAATTGTCCCTATGGCCCTCCCACCCTGGATCCTGCCCTGGGCAGCCCTACTGACAGCTTTGAACACATTGCCTACAGAGGTGGCCTTGAAGCCCTTGCTGCACACCTGGGTATACCAGTCAGTCTAGGGATGATCAGCTGCCAACACGCCTGCTGGGCCTGACATCTCCTGGGGTCTGCATCCCTCTTTGTCTGGGGCCCTCACCTACTGAGTCAGGAGGAAAAGCTGAAACTGGTCCCTTCTTCCTAGATGGGCTGCTCTTACTGATGATTTTGCCCATGTGCTGTGTCCTAGAAAATGTTCAAAGCATCTTTCCTTCCTTGGTACTGGGTGGTTGTGTTGTTTTCTTTGAAGTGGCAGGGGCATGAGAGTGAGCATCCTTTCTTCACAGTGTGATTCTATCTCAAGGCTTAGAAATGGCTACATGTGGCCCTAAGAGGGGAAAGGGGCTCTGCTTGGAGACACCTGGGTCCCAGACACATATGATCTCCAGGCCCTGATAGGGAAGTCCCTGGTCACCTTCACCTCCAGGCTGGCACACCTGGCCTGCTAGGAAGCAAGGTTTGCCCAAATGAACTTTGCCTTTTGGGAAGGGACTGGGTGATTCTTACGAGGTAGGTCTATTCTCAAACGTCTGTGGGCCCAGACTCTGTGGAGACACAAAGGAAGCTGCACCCTCTCCCTAGAAAGCGAGCCAGCTGGTGCAACCGAGGTGCCCAGCGTATCAGTGGGTTGGCAGATCCCCACAAAGCTGGGCCATGGACCCAGGTTAAGAAACCACCCACTCCCCACTCCCAGCGAAAAGGCTCTCAGGACCCTAAGACATAATAAGCAAACAGACCCAAGCTCCAGCACTATGTGGGGCCCTCGCCAGTTGATTCATTATGTCCCCAACTTTGTACTGCTGCAGGTGGAAGGGGAATCCTCAGGCTTTGTACATCGAGCACTCAGCCTGGGGCCTAGCACAGAGGAAGGCTGAATAACTGTCTAATGTTCAGGGACACCTGAAATGTGGCCACTGAGTCCTCAGCCCACAAGGAGCAGCTCCCAGATGACTGGGTGGCCAAAGTAGCAGATAATCAAGACCAGTTGCAGACAGGTTCTATCAACCAGTTGGTCAGAAGAGAGGTGATATGAGTGGGTATGGAGATTTAAGAAGCCTTTCTGGAAGAGGAAGTGTTTGACTCAGACTGTGAAGGAGAGAGAAGGGAAAGCATGAGCTGTGGCATAGAGCAGTAGCTCTTAGACAGAATTCCACAGAAGTTACAAGAAGTTAGGCATTACGTGAAAAAATAAAGGAGACTTTGTTTTCTCACGTGTAAAATGGAAAGAATAATGACAGTCCTGACTATTACTCTGCCACTTGCTGGATGGATGCCTTTGGGACAGTTGTTTGACATCTCTGGGCCTTGGTTTCCTTATTTTTCAAGAAGACTAAATGAGACCTTTGATGGGAAAGGTCTCTAAGAAGGAGAAAGCACTGCATCCTGGGAGGAAAGCCCATCAGAGATTAACCAGAGCCCTTTCTCACTGGTCCCTAGAAGAAACTCCCAGGGTGAAGGTGAAGCAGGAAGAGGTTTGGGGAGGAACAGAGGAGCACAGAGCTATAGACCCCAGACTTGAGTGGCCTGGGTTCTAATCCCAATCGGCCAGCTGAGGCAATCTGACAGCTGTGGGACTACAGTGACTCAACCTCTCTGTGCCTCAGCTTCCCTATCTGTAAAATGGGGATAATACTAGTGGTCCCCTCATAGAGTTGTTGTGAAGACAAAGTGAGGTAACCTAGAGCAGCACCAAGTACATGGGTAGTTCTACATAGGTGCTAAGGTTCAGCCCCCAGCCCCAGAGACTAAGTGCTTCTGTTTTCCCATCAATAAAATGGGTTGTGAACATTGAATGAGGTCAGGCTAAGTTGCCAGCTACCTGCCAGATGTTCTCAGTGTTCAGTGAATGCCAGCTGTTGTTGTTGTTTGCATTATGACTGTCACAACTCTGTAGGAAACTCAGCCTCCTGCAAGAATTCACAGCCACCTTCTCCAGAAAGGGTGGAATCCAACCCCTTCCCAGGACACATTGTACAGCACGTTTTATTAGGCTGTTCTGCATCTCTTACCACATGAGTACCCAGGAAGCGGGTGTTATTATCCCATTTTACAGGGAAGGAGTATAGGGTTCAAGGTCACCCCACTTTGAACACAGCCCATCAGGCACCAGGCCCAGGTGTCCCATAGCCCTGAGCTGACCTCCCCTAAATCAGCCCAGGGTGTCCCACTGGGAACAGTGCTCCACAGGGCTCACACAGGGTAGGGCCATTAGGAAGCTTTATTCTCCCTCATGTTTAACATTGGGCCTGCCTTGTATGGTCAGAATTGACTTCTTTTGATTTAGCAAAATGCCTGGCCTCCAGCCCCAACTTAAACCGACATGATCTGGGACTGTGCCAGCTCCAGAGGGGGCTCAGGTTGACCACTCCCAACACCCCCTGCCTCACTGAGTCATGCTACAGGAAGCCACCCAAGCCCTGCATAAATTAGCCTTCCTGTTCACATCCAGCTAATTTTAGGCAAAAAGATCTCTGTGAGTGAAAGATGAGTTTGAAGCAATGAGAAATCCACTCCCACCCAGTACCTGCCTGCTTCTGGGTACATGGTAACCCTGAGAACACCCTGTTGAGTAAACCTGTTCCCCTGTGAGGCCAACCTGGGGCAACCTCTGCCCTAGTCTGTGATCTTGTTATTTCCTTGTCCACTACTTGATTCTGTCCCATGTGATGTCAGTGCCCTTCCCTGCTTGTCTCCCCTTGCTCCTTTCCTTCCATTCCCTTCCAGCCTCAGACAGGAGAGTCCTCGAGACTGGAGTTCAAATCCTGACTGGCTTACTGTTTGAGGGACTCTGGGAGAGTTCAATTTAATTTCTCTGAGCCTCAGTTGCTTTATCTGTAAAATAGGGATAATAACAGCAGCAGGGGTGTTGTATTACATTAGGACAATCCACGTAAAGAACTTATCAGAGAGCACAGCAGAGCGTAGGATGAACTTACAAAATGATATCTGTTATCATTGTTACTGTTAATTCCCTGGGTGGTACCAATGGTTAATGTGCTTGGCTGCTAACCATAAGGTTGGAGGTTTACAACCACTCAGAGGCCCCTCAGAAGAAAGACCTGGTGATCTGCTCCCGAAAACTCAGCCATTGAAAACCCTATGGAGCACAGTTCTGCTCTGACACACATGGGGTCACCAGGAGTTGGAATCAACTCAAGGACAACTGGGTTTTGTTATTATAGCCAGTGTTTTTAAAAATAACATGCTTGGGCCCTGTCCCCATGAAAGATTAGGGTATTGGGTAATACGATGCCCAATAAAGAGTTAATGTGCTATCAGAGGAGGCTTCCCAGAGAAGGCAGCTTCTCAGTGAGGCTAGAAAGGTGGGTGGTGAGTGTGAGGGTGGGCTGTGAGCTCAAGGAGGCATTCTCCACTTTGTCCCCAGCACCCAGGGCAGTGCCTGGGGCTCTAGAGATATTTGCAGAAAGAAGGAACGGGAAGAAAAAAGTTGCAGATGACCTGGTGCCTGCCCTGTGAGGGATAGAAGGCTGCAGGGCTGGGGACAGGACACAGGACACCCTGCATCACCCATGGAACAATGGGCTTCAGTTCCCCCAGCCCACAGCAGTGTTTTCCTGAGCAACTTGGTGCTCA